CCTTTTGCAGCTGGCAGATGGTAATTTTGTCAGCGCCGATTGTGTTTAAGTGCAGGCAAAGGTCTTTAGGCACTGCACCCAGTGTGCCGATCACCACTGGGACCACCTTTACTGGCTGGTGCCAGAGTCTTTGCAGTTCGATCTTTAAATCCTCATATCGTGTCAACTTTTCCAGTTGTTTCTCTTCAATCCTGCTGTCACCTGGTATTACAACATCAATGATCCATACTTTGTTTTTTATCACGATTGTGAGGTCAGGAGTATTATGCTCCAAAACTCTGTCTGTCAGAATCCAGAAGTTTTATTATTATTATTGTTGTTACTACTACTACTACTACTATTGTTGTTGTTGTTGTTATTATTATTATTATTTATTGCTACTACTACTATTATTGTTGTTGACGATACCCTGCTTTCTCTCTCCGGAGACTCATAGCAGCTTGACATAACAGCATCAGCATACAATTTAAAATATAGAAACATGTATATATGTGCATGGATATATATGTATATATGTATAGCTATATATCTTTATATGTATATCTGTGTATGTAGATATGTGTATATATTTATACATGTGTATGTGTACATGGATATATATGTATATGTGTATACCTGTATATCTTTGTATATATATCTCTGTATGTATATTTATGTAACTGTATCTGTATATCTGTGTATGTGAATCTGTGTATCTACATGTATATATGTGTGTGTGTGTCTGTGTATGTCTTGTGTCTTCTTACTTCTGGTCGATTAACTTACCATGTGTATATATTTATGTGTATGTGTGCATATGTATGTATATCTGTGTATGTATATCCATGTATGTAGATACGTCTATTTGTACATGTGTATGTGTACATAGATATATATGTATATGTGTATACTATATGTAGATCTGTGTATGTGAATCTGTGTATCTGTATGTATATATATGTGTGTCTATCTGTGTATGTCTTGTGTCATCTTACTTCTGGTCGATTAACTTTCCATGCAAATGTATCTATATGTATGTGTGTATATGTATGTATATCCACATATGTAAATATGTGTATACTATATGTATACCTGTGTATGTGTATCTATGTATCTATATATCTGTGTATGTGAATCTGCATGTATATATATGTGTGTGCGCGTATCTATCTGTGTATGTCTTGTGTCTTCTTACTACGGGTCGATTAACTTTCCAGGATCCCTTGGATATCACTGGGGACCCTGTTATTGTGGTCACTAAATCCCTTTTCTTGTTATTCTGACATCTCTGTTGTAGTGATGATCTTTTGACGTTGTGCAAAACCCAACTGGGGAGGGTCTCTGCATAGTCCATGCAGAGTTAGTCTCCATTGAACTGATCTCTTTCCAGAAGACCAACCAAACAAGCTGGGTCTCCATTGGAAGAATGCCTTCACAGAAGTTCAGACTCAAACCTGACCTAAACCTGCAGCTGTCCCCAAATGGTGGCAATTGTTCCTACCTCCCACAAGTGCCCCATTTTGTGCATGAGCGCAATGCCAGTCGGTCAATGGTGCCCAGAAGCTGGAATGGCCTCTGGTTGAGTGACCATCGGTGCCCTCCATTCCTTTTCCAAGGACTTCTGCCCACTCATTGATTTTCCAGTTTATATAACAAGCCTCGTCTGTCGCTTCACTAAAAGGGGGAGAAAGGGATACCCAAAAATGGCTGGGGGACGATGGGCATCGCAGTCCAGAATTCTTCCCCTCTCCGGTTTCCCTCCAAACCTATTTGAAGCCATTGCTGAAGGAAAGGGTACCTCTGAGCATGTGCAGAGTCCTTCCTGTCTTTCTTTGGCATGTGTACATGTACATGGATATATATATGTATATGTGTAAACCTGTATATCTTTGTATGTATATCTGTGTATGTATATTTATGTAACTATCTGTATATCTGTGTATGTGAATCTGTGTATCTACATGTATATATGTGTGTGTGTGTCTGTGTATGTCTTGTGTCTTCTTACTTCTGGTCGATTAACTTTCCATGCGTATGTATCTATGTGTATGTGTGTATATGTATGTATATCTGTGTATGTATATCCATGTATGTAAATATGTGTATGTGTGTACTACGTGTATATCTGTTTATGTGAATCTATGTATCTGCATGTATATATGTGTCTGTGTCTGTCTGTGTATTTCTTGTGTCTGAGCATGTGCAGAGTCCTCCTTCCTGCCTTTCTTTGGCATTTTCTGGTGTTCACCACCTTATGTTGCCATCCACATGAATAAATAAATACATGTATAAATAATATATGCATCAAATATAATTAAGTATATAACAAATAATAAAGTCTTAATAATAATAATAAATAACCACACACACACACACACATATATATAATACTAAGGGACCTTTCCTCCATTAGATCAATTAAAAATGTATCGGGGAAGAAGATAATGAGAAGTTTGAGCCTGCCAACCCAAACTTGCAGCAAACTGAGCTTGGAAACTATCTTGCGTTCCAATTTTGGGTGAAAAGGGGGACATATACATTAAATGAATACATCAGTGCCTTATCCCAGTATAATGGTCGTTTCAGAGATGCTGGAAAGGGGCCATAAGGTGAAGTGAGGGCATTGCCAACCAGCAGGGAGGCCGGCAGCACCTTGGACAGCACCCAGCACTGATGCCCAGAGGGCGAATGGGAGGCAGCCCTAAATGCAGTGATATAAGGTGAGTGATACCTGTCTGCTCCTGTATAATAATAAATTAATATTAATGTAGTAATATATTAATATTATTAATCTATACTAGTAAAATATTGGCATTATATAAACATTATTATATTTATTTATACCCCACTTTATCTCCCTGAAGGAGACTCAAAGCAGCTAAATACGATTAATATAGTAATATATTAATATTATGTATATATATTAATATACGAATATATTAATAAGGACTACCTGGTGGCACAGTGAGTTAAACTGCTGAGCTGCTGAATTTGCTAATTGAAAGGTTGGGGAGTGAGGTGAGCTCTGCTGTTAGCCCCAGCTTCTGCCAACCTAGCAGTTTGAAAACATACAAATGTGAGTAGATCAATAGGTACTACTCTGGTGGGAAGGTAATGGCGCTCCATGCAGGCATGCCGGGCTTGGAGGTGTCTACGGTCAATGCTGGCTCTTTGGCTTAGAAATGGAGATGAGCATCACCCCCCAGAGTTAGACTTAATGTCAAGGGGAAACCTTTACTTTTACTAATATATTAATATAGTCAATATAATATTGATATATACTATTAAAATATTCATTATTATATAATGATTATTATTATATTTATTTATAGAATCATAGAATCAAAGAGTTGGAAGAGGCCTCATGGGCCATCCAGTCCAACCCCCTGCCAAGAAGCAGGAATATTGCATTCAAATCACCCCTGACAGATGGCCATCCAACCTCTGTTTAAAAGCTTCCAAAGAAGTTTCCTCCACCACACTTCGGGGCAGAGAGTTCCACTGCTGAACAGCTCTCACAGTCAGGAAGTTCTTCCTCATGTTCAGATGGAATCTCCTCTCTTGTAGTTTGAAGCCATTGTTCCTTTGCGTCTTTGTCTCCAGGGAAGCAAAAAACAAGCTTGCTCCCTCCTCCTCCCTGTGGCTTCCTCTCACATATGTATACATGGCTATCATATCCCCTCTCAGCCTTCTCTTCTTCAGGCTAAACATGCCCAGCTCCTTAAGCCACTCCTCATAGGGCTTGTTCTCCAGACCCTTGATCATTTTAGTCGCCCTCCTCTGGACACATTATACCATGCTTTATCTCCCTGAAGGGGACTCAAGGCAGCTAAATATTATTAATATATGCCATTAATATATACTATTAATAAAAGTAATATATTTATATTAATAATATTAATATATTTATATTAATTAGGATTATGCTTCCTTCGAAAGGGATCTCAGAAGTCTTGGCAGACCCCAAGCTGAGCATGAGCCAAGAGTGTGATGTGGCAACCGAAAAGGCCAATGCGATCCTAAGCTGCATCCATCAATGGGAGTCATATGGAACTTTTATGGAACTAGTGCTAGAACACTACCCTCACTCCCAACTAAATTTAGTGGGAAAGGAGGAAGACCAGGATGAGAAGCAGGAAGTGATGGAGGAGCTGTATAAAATCCACACTGAACTGGATTATATGATCGTGTGGACTCAGATAATCCAGTTCAAAGCAACTGCCTTGACATTCTGGGCTATATGTCTGTGTGGAAGGGGCTAAAGAGAAAGGTGGAAAAGGAAAAGGAGGAGGAGGAAGAGAAAAAGAGAAGGAGACAGAGAGGGAGAAGGAGATGAGGTGAAAGGTAGAAGGGGAAAAAGAGGAGGAAGAGAAGGAGAAGAGAGAAGGAGGGATCGAGAAAGAAGGGAAGGAGGAGAAAGAGTGGGGCAAGAAGGAGGAAAAGGATAAGGAGAAAAAGGAGGGTGACTAGGAGAAAGTTGGAAAGGGAGAAAGAGGAGGAGGAAGAGGAGGTGAATGAGGAACAGAAGAGAAGGAAGGAAGGGAGAAAAAAGGGAAGGAGGAGATAGAAGGGGAGGAAGAGGGCGACTAGGGGGAAAGGGAAAAAGAAAGAGGAGAGTGAAGGAGAAAGAAGAGAAGGAAGGAGAAAGAAGGAAAGGAGGGGATAGAAGGGGAGGAAGAGGGCGACTAGGTGGAGAGGGAGAAAGAAGAGGAGAAAGAGGAGATGAAGGAGGAAGAGAAGAGAAGAAGGAGAGAGAAAGAAAGAAATAGAAGAAGAGGAGGAGGAGAAGGAGAAAGAGGAGGAAGAAAGGAGAAAGAAAGAATGAGGGAAGGAGATAGAAGGAGAGGAAGAGGGCGACTAGGGGGAAAGGTGGAAAGGGAAAAGAAGAGGAGGAAGAGGAGATGAAGGAGGAAAAGAAGGAGTGAAGGAGAAAGAGTGGGACAAGAAGGAGGAAAAGGATAAGGAGAAAAAGGAGGGTGACGATGAGAAAGATGGAAAGGGAGAAAGAGGTGGAGGAAGAGAAGATGAAGGAGGAAAAGAAGAGAAGAAGGAAGGAAGGAGAAAGAAGGGAAGGAGATAGAAGGGGAGGAAGAGGTGACTAGGGGGGAAGGTGGAAAGGAGAAAGGAAAGGAGAGTGAAGGAGGAAAAGAAAGGAAGAAGGAAGGAAGGAGAAAGAAGGGAGGAGATAGAAGGGGAGGAAGAGGCTGACTAGGGGGGAAGGTGGAAAGGGAGAAAGAGGAAGAGGAGATGAAGGAGGAAAAGAAAGGAAGAAGGAAGGAAGGAGAAAGAAGGGAAGGAGGAGATAGAAGGGGAGGAAGAGGGCGACTAGGGGGAAAGGCGGAAAGGGAAAAAGAAGAGGAGGGAAGAGAAGCAAAGGGGAAAGAAGGGGATGGGGGGAGGGAGCTGAAGGGCGCCCCCCCTTCCCGGCCCCCCTGCAAGCACGCATGCGCCCCGGCCAGCCGAGAGGGGTCTGTCTGTCTGTCCGTCTGTCTGCCGCACGTGTGAATGCGTGCCTTGCCGCAAGAGGCGGGGCGGAGAGAGAACTAGGGAGGCGGGGGGGGGGGCTTTCCTTTCTCAAGGTCAGGCTGCAAAGGGGGGGGGGGGGGGGCGCAGAACATGCCTCCCGAGGGCCGTGCCCACCTTCGTCCTCGCCCATGGGCTCCTGGCTCCAGGTGCAGCACAGGAGCATCAACCGCATGCAGCCGGCCTCCGACGCGGCGCCTGGGGAAGCGGGGCTGCCTTTTCCCGGCCGGAGCCTCTTCTTCCTCTTCCTCTTCCTCCGGAGCCCAGGGCCGACTGAGAGGAAGCCCTGGGAAAAGGGGAGGGGGGAAGAGGAGGGGGCGGGGCCTCCGAGGAGGGAGGGGGAGAGAGAGAGGGAGAGGAAGAGGGGAACACCCCCCTCCCCACCACCACCGTTCTCTCTTTCAAGGCTTCCTTGGCAGCAGAGAGACTGCAGCATCTGGGATCCAATACTCATCCTTTATCTGAGCTGCCTGGCCATGTTCCAGAAGCATTCTCTCCTGACGTTTCGCCTGCATCTATGGCAGGCATCCTCGGTGGTTGTGAAGGAGTAAATAAAGATCAACATTCAAAAACAGGGGAGCTGCAGACAAGAAAAAATCAGGGACAGCTAATCACCTCCCAACAAAAGATTTCCCCCAGGCAATAAGAAGCCAGACCTTGAAAACTGCTAGGCCCTTCAATGCTCATCAAGGTGGCCCATTGCTACATTCACACCTACCTCAAACAGACCAGAGTTCGTTCTCCCACCCAGACAAGAAACCATCAGGGACAGCTAATCGCCTCAACAAAGGATTCCCCCAGGCAGTAAGAAGCTAGACCTTGAAAACTGCTAGGCCATTCAATGCTCATCAAGGTGGCCCATTGCTACATTCACACCTACCTCAAACAGATCAGAGTTCGTTCTCCCACCCAGACAAGAAACCATCAGGGACAGCTAATCGCATCTCAACAAAGGATTCCCCCAGGCAGTAAGAAGCCAGACCTTGAAAACTGCAAGACCATTCAATTCTCATCAAGGTGGCCCATTGCTACATTCACACCTACCTCAAACAGACCAGAGTTCGTTCTCCCACCCAGACAAGAAACCATCAGGGACAGCTAATCGCCTCTTAACAAAAGATTCTCCCAGGCGCTAAGAAGCCAGACCTTGAAAACTGCTAGGCCATTCAATGCTCATCAAGGTGGCCAATGGAAATATTCACACCGACCTCCAACAAAACTCTAGAATCAGGACAGTAAATAAAAAGGAACACTCTGAAAACATGGATTCTAGACAGGAAACAATCTGGGCCAGCTAACACCCCCCAGGCACGGAGCAGCCAGGCTTTGAAGCTGCAAGGCAGTTCAATGAATTATAGAATCATAGAGTTGGAAGAAACCTCATGGGCCATCCCAGTCCAATCCCCTGCCAAGAAGCAGGAAATGCTAATCAAGCTGGCCAATGGCAACATTCAGACTTGCCTCCAACAGACAAGAGTTCTTTCTCCCACCCTGGACATTATTTCACAGATATATAAACACTATTTTCCTAGTTTCCTACAGACCTCACAACCTCTGAGGATACCTGAGATGTGGGTGAAATGTCAGGAGAGAATGCTTCTGAAACAGGGCCAGGCAGCCCAAAAAATTCACAATAACCCAGTTATTCCAGCCATGAAAGCCTTTGAAAATAAATTAATATTATTGTTATTATTAGGTTCTTCTCTTAGGACTGTTATTCTCAGGGACCACTCCCCAACTTTAGCACGACGAGGCCACGGACCATATTTAGTTCTCGTAAACAGTGACCATATTTTAGTTCACTGTTTTAGGGCTTGGGGAAGGTTCTTTTTATGGACTGCCAGCCCCAGATTCGCCAGCCAGCATCTGCAACCCTGGGAGTTGTAGTTTCCAAAGGTCTGAGGCCTTTTCCCTGCCCAAAAAGGGTGGGGGGCTCCGTAAATGACAACTCCCAGGCAGCGCATATAGGATTGCCAAACCCAGAATCCCCAGCCAAGATCTGGAACCCTGGGAGTTGTAGTTTCCTAAGCTCTGGGTCCTTTCCCCTGCCCAAGAAGGCTGGGGGCTTCCCTAAACTACAACTTCCAGGAAGCATATATAGGATTGCCAGACCCAGTATTCTCAGCCAGCATCTGGAACCCTGGAATTTCAGCTTCCCAACGTCTGGAGCCTTTTGCCTACTCGAAATGGCTGGGGGCTTCCCTAAACTACAACTTCCAGGAAGCACATATATGATTGCCAGGCCCAGAATCCTCAGCCAGCATCTGGAACCCTGGAATTTGTAGTTTCCCAAAGTTTGGAGCCTTTTCCCTACCCGAGACAGCTGGGGCCTCCCTAATCTACAACTCCCAGGTAGCACATATATGATTGCCAGACCCAGAATCCTAAGCTAGCATCTGGAATGCTGGGAGTTGTAGTTTCCCAAAGTCTGGGTCATTTTCCTTGTCTGAGAAGGCTGGGGGCCTCCCTAAACTGCAACTCCAGGAAGCTCATATAGGATTGCCGGACCCCGAATCCTCAGCCAGCATCTGGAACCCTGGGAGTTGTAGTTTCCCAAAGTCTGGGTCAATTTCCTTGTCTGAGAAGGCTGGGGCCTCCCTAAACTGCAACTCCAAGGAAGCTCATATAGGATTGCTGGACCCCGAATCCTCAGCCAGCATCTGGAATCCTGGGAGTTGTAGTTTCCCAAAGTCTGGAGCCTTTTCCCTGCCCAAGAAGTCTGGGGTCCTCCCTAAACTACAACTCCCAGGAAGCACATAAATAAATAAATTCTAGCAATGCAAGTGAGGACCAGAAAAAGGTGGAAGGCCTTGACAAACTACAACTCCCAGGTTCAAGAAACGAGAAGCAGTCCCCAGGGGATGAAAAAATAAGACAACCAACAGACTTCCGTTTCCTTTAAAAAGTTATTTATTAGTCAGGTAATTTTTATTATTATTATTATTATTACTTAAATTCCATTCCATTTTTTTGTTTTGTTTTGTGTTTTTTTTTTTCTGTCCCAGTTTGGAGACGGAGGAGGACGGGTTTGGCGGGTCGCCCGGATGGGACGGGGTCGGCTCTGGACCATTGTGACGCGGGTTTGGGACTAATCTGGCCCAATGGAAGCAAGGAAGACGGGGGGGGGGGGGAGAGAAAGGGGACCGCCAGCTGCGGCTTCGGGATTAAGGTCAATCCCATCGGGGGAAGAGAAAGGCCGGAAGGGTCCAGCGGAGCCTAATGGCAAGGCAAGTGGGACCTGCGTCAACGGCGTGATGCATCAGCTCCGAAAGCCAACGCGATCCTAGGCTGCGTCCAGAAGAGTCTTAGTGTCCAGATCGAAGGGAAGGAAAGCCATCGTCCCGCTCTCTTCCGCTTTGGTCAGACTGCTTGACCTGGAATAAAACTAGGGAGCCTTAGAGCCAACCGTGTGATGCGGCAGCTCAAAAAGCCAATGCGATTCTAAGGCTGTATTGAGAGAAGTCAGGATCCCGTTCTATTCTGCTTTAGTCAGACCTCACCTGGAACAGCCCTCCGTCCAGGATACGGACAAGACAGAGGGGCCACCACAATGGTCAAAGGTCTGCAAACTATAAATCCCTCTAAAGAACTGGGGGTGTTTAGCTTGGAGAAGAGAAGGCCGAGAACAAAGGACAGGACAGCCAGGTTTAAATATTTGGAAGGAGGCCGTACTGAAGAAGAGGGCAAGCTGTGTTTTCTGACACGCTAGAGACTGGGACATACGGGAGCCATGGGTTCAAATGGTAGGAAAAGAGATGCCATCTTGGGAAGGAACCCCTGTTTCCACACTGGAATAGATTGCCCTGGAATTGCCTTCTTGGGAGGCGTTTAAGCAGGGGCTGGATGGCCATCTGTTGGGAGGGTTCGGATTGTGTCTTCCTGCCTGGTGGAAGAGGTTGGACTGGATGGTCCTTGGGCTCCCTTCCAACTCTAAGATCCTATGACTGATTGATTGAGTGATTGATGCATTCATTATGTCTTCCTTCCTGGCAGAAGAAGGGTGGACTAGATGGCCCTTGGGGGTTCCTTCCAACTCTAGGATCCTATGATTGATTGGTTCATGCATTGGTTATGTCTTCCTTCCTAGCAGAAGAGGGATGGCCTGGATGGCCCTTTAGGGTTCCTTCCAACTTGAGGATCCTATGATTGATTGGTTCATGCATTGATTATGTCTCCCTTCCTGGCAAATGAAGGGTGGACTAGATGGTCCTTGAGGGTTCCTTCCAACTCTAGTATCCTATGATTGACTGGTTCATGCATTGATCATATCTTCCTTCCTAGCAGAAGAGGGATGGCCTAGATGGCCTTTGGGGCCCATTCCAACTCTAGGATGCTATGATTGATTGATGCATTTGTTATAACTCCCTTCCTAACAAATGAAGGGTGGACTAGATGGCCCTTGGGGGTTCCTTCCAACTCTAGGATCCTATGATTGATTGGTTCATGCATTGATTATGTCTTCCTTCTTAGCAGAAGAGGGATGGCCTAGATGGCCCTTGGGGTCCATTTCATCTCTAGGATCCTATGATTGATTGATGCATTTATTATATCTCCCTTCCTGACAAATGAAGGGTGGACTAGATGGCCCTTGAGGGTTCCTTCCAACTTGAGGATCCTATGATTTATTGGTTCATGCATTGATTATGTCTCCCTTCCTGGCAAATGAAGGGTGGACTAGATGGTCCTTGAGGGTTCCTTCCAACTCTAGTATCCTATGATTGACTGGTTCATGCATTGATCATATCTTCCTTCCTAGCAGAAGAGGGATGGCCTAGATGGCCTTTGGGGCCCATTCCAACTCTAGGATGCTATGATTGATTGATGCATTTGTTATAACTCCCTTCCTAACAAATGAAGGGTGGACTAGATGGCCCTTGGGGGTTCCTTCCAACTCTAGGATCCTATGATTGATTGGTTCATGCATTGATTATGTCTTCCTTCTTAGCAGAAGAGGGATGGCCTAGATGGCCCTTGGGGTCCATTTCATCTCTAGGATCCTATGATTGATTGATGCATTTATTATATCTCCCTTCCTGACAAATGAAGGGTGGACTAGATGGCCCTTGAGGGTTCCTTCCAACTTGAGGATCCTATGATTTATTGGTTCATGCATTGATTATGTCTTCCTTCCTGGCAGAAGAGGGTTAGATCGGATAGCCCTTAGGGGTCCCTTCCAACTCTAGGATCCTATGATTGATTGATGCATTATGTCTTCCTTCCTGGCAGAAGAGAGGTGGACTGGATGGCCTTTGGGGTCCCTTCCAACTCTAGAATCCTA